AAAAAAAAAAGTGGCCATTATTCATCTTTTCTAAACTCACATTGTTATTTGATGCTATTAGGACTTGTTAGATTAGATGACGAATTATGAATTTCCTTATGTTGCATTGTCGGAGACTTTGGTTCTCGAACATGCAAATTGTCAACCAATGAATTATCAAATATAAATTTCTTGCTATAACGAATAACAACTTTATAAAAAAAATGCAGAATATGTATTTGCAACCAATCTAGAAATTGAAATTAAATTCTTTCTAAAATCGGGAACATAAAGACAATTGTTAAACCCAAAGTCCTATCTAAATAAAAAATAAAGATAAACGTCTCCCACTGCAACAACTTCCGCCTTACTGGCGTTGACCATGTAGACGGTAACCTCTCTTTCCCTAAATCGTCTAGTTTCTTGGAACCCCTGTAATTTATTGCATACATGATCAGTTGCTCCTCCAATATCTACACATCACAGGTACTGATAGATAACACCGCTAAACGAGATATTTACCTCCACGCCCTTCTTGAAGAGAATGCAGTTGGTTTTCCAGTATCCTTTCTGCTTGCACCAGTCGCACTTGCCCTTAGGCTTCTTTGCTGCTTCCTGAGCCGCAGAGCAGCCACAAGCACATGCACCTTTGCATTTCCTACACACTTCTTCCTCTTATTACCCTTATTGAGCCCTGGAAGAAGGCATGAACATGAGCATTCCAATGAAACAGTCCCTTCGCCGACTGGAGTTCTGTGAGCAGCTCCGAAAGAGACGACATCATTGGAGCTCAGAAATACAAGACAACTACATGTAAAAACTTAAAACTATTCGTTCGTTTGGAGATCATCTTACAGTTACATCAATTTCAATTACATTCTCTTTGAAATTACAGTTACATCTCTACATCCCTATGCCACACAAAATTTCAAAACGGTATCCATAGCAACAAACAAAAACGGTTTACTGTTCTGCTCTTAAAAATACATAGTTCTTTAAAAAAATATTCATACCCTGATAAATTATAAATACAATGCTCCAGAAAAAGGACACACACAACTGTTTTGACTAGTGCAGTAGCCACTAAAAAACATTGATCTCGTCTACTAAGTCATGCCAAAACAAAATTCATGCTCACAGGAAAACGTCTGCTTACAAGAAATTACCCAGATTAATTGACTTCGACTTTTTCTGTTACTGTGACCCATAAGGTTGTGTATAATACACCATTCCATTCCCAGGCGCTTGAATATTTGGTGTTAGAGGCCTAAAACTAGCTGGCCCGGGCGGTTGGTGGCCCAGGGGCATCTGCTGCTGAGTCATTGCGGGCTGTGGCTGCTGCACCAGAGATACCATTGGGCTGACCATGTAAGATGGAGGACCCGGATGAGGTGGCAAGGGCGCAAGCCCATTGTACTCGTACGGGCCAGTGATGCCACCAGATGGCTGCTGCACATACTGCAGAGAAGGATTGGGAATAGAATGGTAGTGGGTCTGCGAGCCGGAGATTTGAGCTGATGGCGGCGGGCCTACCATGACCGATTGGTATGGGTTGTTATTCTGTGGGGGGTTGGTGAAGACTCCAGGGCCCATAACAGGCCCATGGTGGTTTTCGGGCTTTGATGTGGTGAACCCAGCATTTTGGGCCTCCTCGGCAGCAAAAGTGGAGAGGACAGATGTCATTATGTATTGGGATGAGGTGGAAGCAGTGAGTTTGTCGGCAACCTCGGCAGCAATTGCAGCAGCTGATTTTTTGGACGTTTGGTGATCGGTTTTGCCGTTTCCTGATGCAGTTGTTGGTTGCTTTGGGTCGAACGCACGATCTTCATCATCCAAACGTGTGCGCATCTCAGCAACTTCTTCTACTTGTGCCTGTGCTACCTGGAATTGTTTTAAAGTAAGCATCAATAGTAGGAAGAAATAATTCTGGCACTTGGTCTATAACTACCGAAAAAAAAATATATATATATATATAGAAAGAATAACAGAATATCAAGAGCTATATTTCAGAAGAGCACAGTTATGCAATATATTAGATATTGTGGCTACAAAGTGCTGCACTACAAATAGGAGATACAAAGCATCCATTCCAAAAATCACATAGCAACTCATTTATATGGACAATCTCATGGC